TCCTTGCTCCCGCCTGGGAGCAAGCTGGGATGGAATACAAAGAGAAAGGCAGTAGTTGGGGAGAGAAGCCACCGCTGAATCCCTACGTGGTTTTTTTGTACAATCCCCAAGTGGTTTTTTGTACAATCCCTGCCACAGTGGAGTTTACTGTGTGTAGCAACTTGGAAATTTCCCAAGCGCACGCATGACTGACACATTCCTTGCTGTGTGGTGACTTGTGCAGCCTCCAGTTTCTGCTCCCTGCTTGTGATTTCTGGTTTTCTTGCTCCATTATGGAAATGATTTAATTGCTTTTAATTTGTCAAGCAAAGCATATTTCTCAGTATTTAACCAGTACCAAGGTGGAAAACTTAAGTGGCTCGGAAACTAAAGCAGCCCAGGACCATTCCTGTAGCCACTGGTTGCATTGCTTCTAGTCGAAACTCTGCAACCACAACATCTGCTGGACAATAAAGACTGCAGTTTACCATATCACATAACAAGTAATTAATAAATCAATATGGCAGACTACATTAATATTTACCTTTTAGTAACTTTTTGCTAATACTATGAATTTTATTATGCGAGGCTTATATGGTTATGGTGATACTTCAATTTATTGGGTATTGAGATTAAATTTTCTCCATATTCTACCATTAAGAAAGAATATGGCACTTTTAGGAATGATAGAATCTTCACAGACTAATAATGAACAGCTACTTGACAGAATTAATATCATTGAAAATCAAAAGTTGCCTGAAAAAATTAATACTATTAAAAAGGATAACATTAATTTGAAAGACAAAATTGAATCCATATATAAGGGGACTAAGAAGTTATCTGAAAGAATTCATACTGTTGAATTTGGCAATCAAAATTTCTTAAAAATTATGAAAAGTTAGCAGAGACTGTCTCTCCAGGATGGCAATCTGCATTCAAGTAATGTCCAAGGATGAGATGTTATATTTAAAGGAGAAACTTCAGAGTCACATGTGCACAATGAGGACCAGAGGCTAGGGGCTTCAATGAAATCACTAAAAATATATACAGGTCGGGAGATTCAGGCTTTACAAAATACAATAGTAAAAAGTTTTGAAATGATTGAGGAAATATTGGAGCTGATGAACAGGGAAAGAAGGCACGAGGACAGGATTCAACATCGCCAGTAGCTGTCAGAGATGGTTTACCCAGCGTTTTAGCTTCCTACCTTGTAATCTACTCTGGCAAAGCATCAAGTTCTAAAGGCCCAAAAGGATCCAAGGAAGGTAGATAAAAACCTATAAGAATGAATGATCTAAAAGAAATTAAACAAGCTGTTGTAACTCATGGCTTGCATTCCGCATTTGTTAAGGAGATGAGAAAGTCATGGTCTTCTAGCATGAAAGCCACCCCACATGACTTGATTTAATTAGTTTCAGCAGTCCTGGATGAAGGATATCAATTAATATTTAAAATTTATTTCAGAGAGGAGGCCAAAATTTTGAAACAACAGGGAAAAACAAAAGGCCATAAGACTTCCCAAGATCAAATTCTTGGTGAAGGCCATTAAGCTGGCCCACAGGTTCAAGCTCTTTATGGTGAACAAATCTTGTACTTATGCCACACAGCAGCCTTAAATGCTTGGGACAGGTTTCAAGAACTAGGAAAATAGATTAAATCACATGACAGGGTTAATCAGTGCCAAAGAGAACCCTTTACTGACTTTTTGCAATGATTAACGAAGGCTGTACAAATAGGAGTAACAGATCCAGATGCTAGATGAGTATTTATTGAATCTTTGGCTTTTGAAAATGCCAACTTATAATGTAAAAAGATACTTGGGCCTTTAAAGGTTAGATCAGCACCTATGGATCCTGCATACAATGAACACTGAGACATTTGACTAGAATGCTGAATCTTGAGTAGGAGAAACAATTTGCAAAGGAATGATGAGACACCAAAATGCCAAATGTTTTAATTGTGGTAGAATAGGACATTTGAGAGGGGACTGTAGACAAGGAATTCCTAGGAATAATATCTACTCTGGGAATGGCAAGAATAAGAGGTCTCAGCCTTCAGGTATATGTATAAAGTGTGGCAAAGGTGAACATTGGACCAATGAATGCAGATCAACAAAACACATACAAGGCAACCCAATACCATTGGGAAACCCATGGTGCCCTTTTTTACAATGTTCTGGCCCGACCTCTAGCAAATACTCAGAGACTATTTGCAATTTTCCCAGGCAGTAATCTAGGAATTTATCATTTTACTTTCACAGGATCCCTTAGAAAGAACATTGACCTCATGACAGCTGGAAGTACTTCTAGAAGACGATGTCCCCTGTCCCAACAAAGTTTGTCCTCAGGGTTAGGGATATCATTTAGGGGTTGATTATAATCGATATAGGGTTGGAGGTACAGGCTCAGGGATCTCTTTTGAAAAAAAAACAAAAATTGGATGGGATAATAGATTAGTATGAGCTTACTCACACTAATAATAATAGTGATTAATAGAGTGAATACTTGTGAGTTATTATTTATTGGCAATTACATTGGTATAGATTCTTGCATATTGATACAAGGCTAAATTATATTGAATATTATATGCATGCATGCTTCTACCTTTGTTTAAAACATTTTTATATACTGATATACATTTATCATATTGCAATGCACATTTCTACATCTGATCAAGATACTTATACATTGTTTATATTTTGAGTTCATTGTCCTCATTTGTTGTACATTTGTTTATTATGTAATATTCTAATATGAAGTCTTTAAATTATATAGGTATTAAGAGTTATAGATCAATAGTTATCTATGTTTGTCATGCTTAAAGTTAGTTAATCAGGTTCTTTAGATACATAGAGATTATATTCTGCATAGACAGGTCATCTTCAACCACTTCAAAGAGCTGTAGAATATTGCATTTAAATAATTTAGAGTTCTGTTTCAGTGAGTCACAATTGGTCCTGGCAGCACCCGATCTATTCTCGAGAGAATGTTGAGCACCAAAGACACTTCACTTGGAGCTTGTTTTCTTCTTGACAAAACTGGCCTTTGGGCAAAGAAATGCCCATGTCTCAACCACTGACAAGATACATGATGTCCAGAAATGGATAAGCATGACTGTCAAATCTTGCCATTACAGGGTAAGATGGTTTTGAAAAATTTCCTGCCTCTGAAAATGGTCTATAGGTTATTCTAGGCCTTAGCCAAAGTTGGTTGTTTCAACATTGCAAATGAGACTTTGGGTGATTGCCCAGATAACCAGTTGTCTCTGTCATTTGTTGCACATTTTGGAAGTTGCTTGATTGCACTTCCTGCTTACTCAAGTAATATTTCCCTTCTTGAATATTCAATGGGGTTGAAGACTAGATAGTTGTAGTTACTTTCCTCTCATAACTTGGCCAAGTTATTTATTATACTAGTTAGGGTAGGATAATTATTGATTATATTTGTTCTTATTGTACATAATTTTGAATTAGGCTTAGAACTCTCTTATTTAAACAAAATGGGAGGTGCTGTAGGAAGTCTTACAGCCAGTGGCTACCCGCCCATTGGGGCGTGGCCTCTTATACTATATAAGCTGATGTAGAGCATGCATCTACTCTCTTTCCGGTTGCTGGATTTGGTTTCTGTTGTCCGTTCAAGCAGAGGATTCTGATTTGTGAGTTTACCCCTAAATAAATAACCACCTATTTCTCGATTCTGAACTACTGTGCGATTTCTTTTAAGTGTCCTTCAACATTGCACTGCATAGAAAATAGCTGCACAGAAAGTTGAATTAAGACAGCATCGTGGTTATCTGAAGTGATAAAAGATAAATTTTTCTAATGTACATGTAAGGAGACTCCAGTGACTGCATGCACAGGTGTGTGTGTGCGTGAGTGTGTGTGGGGGGGTGGGGGTCGGGGCAGTGTTCTGGGTGTGTGCAGACCCATATTCTATTTCTGAAAAACCAGATCTCTCTACATGAAGACAACAAGACTTTTGGACCACAAACACAGGGGGTAGTTAGAAATTTACTTTCCCGAAGTCCTGGGGTAAAGGAGCTTTCTTATTATTTTGTATAAATCTGCTTTTCTCCTTAATGAAAGTCACACTCTGAGGACAAGAAAATGAGCTAAAACAGCTCAGGGCCTTGAGATGTTGGTCCTTTTCCCCCAAAGGCCTTTGATGCTTGAATCAGTCTCCAGCACGTGGGAGCTCCTGTCTTGTATCCGGACTGGGCTTAGCTGAAACCTGTGTGAGTGAAGACCAAGCCACAGAAAACTCAGTGCACACATGTATAAAACTGTCAAAGAGTTTTTAAAAATGAACTCAAGTATCAGCCACTAATCTGAGAAGGTCAATGACCACAGGCCAAAGCTCATGACTTCCTGACACACAGGAACAGAGAGACTTCCATGTTCATTTCCACACTTACATTCAATCAGCAAAGTGTGCTGAGTGAGACTCAGGTGAGCCGCCCCTCTGGCCCGACTGAAATTTCTAGTCCACAGACTCAAGAGCAAAATGTATGCATTGTTTTTCGCATTGTTCCTAATGCATCAGTAATATGTGGTATTGGGAACTGCAGACGCTCAACCCTGAATTTTCTGTGACCCCTTGCCTGCAGAAGTAGACAACTTGCTTTCCTATGCTTGCAGCTGTTCTGAGCACGAGACCCTCATGAGATCCTGATGTCAGGGCAGTGGTCTCTCTTGGGCTTCCAGCTGAAAAATCCCCAGAGCTAGAAAGAGGCCATTAGTCAAGGAGAGCCTTATATAAGCTGTCCTGGAACAGGATAAAATTGGCATTCCAAAATTCTTGTTTCCAGGGTGACCCCACCCCCTCTGTGTGTGTGTGTGTGTGTGTGTGTGTGTGTGTGTGTGTGTGTTTCAATCTCTAGCCTCTTGACCGACTCATGAACCATCCCATGGTAGACAGGCAGAACTCTACAATAGGGATAGGTATATAAAACACAGGCACCCCAGAAACCAAGAGTGTGTTCGAACCCTCAAACCCCCAACTCAGCAATCACATGCATTAGAATCTGGTGTGCACCAGCAAGGAGTTTTATTGTTCATTACACTGACATGACAGGGCTCACTGGTTCATGAAGAGAGAATGGAATGTGCTTGCTGCACAGGAACAAAGGTCTCAGTCCCACTGGCTAAGCAGAAGGGAAGGAATGCTTAAATTGAATTGCTGGAATATCCACTAACCTCCAGAATGCACCCATGAAGTACTGTCCTGTCTTCTGGAAGCCCATGCTCATGTAAAGGGCATGAGCACTTTTCTGCAAGATGCTGGTGTCAAGGACAACATCACTGTAGCCCTGATCCCGTGCAAACTGGAGGAGAGTTCTGGTCAGTGCTTTCGCTATCCCCTGTCCTCGATGCTGTGAGGACACAGACAGGTGAAAGAGCTCCAACTGCTTCCTCCCTAATGGGGGATCCTTGACTGGTAGACCACCCACAGTGCCCACCAGCTCTCCCCCAGACTCAGCCACCCAGAAGCAGGAGCCACGTGCACTCATGTAGGACTTGGTGATGTCAGCCATGTCTGTGTGCAAACACTTGGCCACATACTCCTTCCATGGCTGTCTTGCAAGGAGCTTCATGAGAAGAAGCACAAAGAAGATGCTCATAGCAGCTAGCAGCCAGGAGCCAGACACCAGGACCATGGCAAGCGGCAACCCAAGTAAGAGAAAAAGGGTTCGGGGCAGGATCAGCAGGTGGCGGAAGGTGGCAGGAATATGCTCTTCCATTCCTCTTATAAACAAATCCCAGACCCTTTTCTGGTCGCTGTCCTGGTACTGGCGGATGTGATAAGGAGCCATGGCAAATTTTTGGGTCTCAAATCTCGGCATCCAGGTGAGACAGGTATACTTGCCTGGCACTTTCCCTGAGGAATGAAGAGGAAAGAAACCATGTAAGTCCCCTGACCTTCTGCCTCTCAACCTCCCAAGACCCATTTAGCCTCTCTTCAAGGGTGTATCTTCCTGCTGTCAGCAGACAGGAAGCAGACACTGACACTGGGAGAATGTCTGTCCAGCAACACCTGACTACACCCTTCTTCACGCTACTAGAAACCTTCTGTAGCTCTGGGAACATAAACAAGCCCAGTGCTGCAGATGGACTCCATGCACCCATTAGGTCATTGTCTGTGGACTGTGCATTACAGGCATTCTGTGTTTCCAGGTGTTTTCCTGTAGATCTCCTTCCCAAGGATTACAAAACTTTAGATGACAGAGCTGGCAGAAATAAACGAACAAGAACACCCATTGCTGCAAACTCTTATCCTTGAGCCCTCAGGCAGGTTCTAGGACACCAGTCTTATGCTGAGACCATCCAGCCAGTGCTGCCAGCCTTACCTGCTACTGCACAACCAAGAGTGTCTGGAAGGGCATCAGCCTCTGGTCGCATGCAGTACAGTCCGGGTCTGCCTAACAACTGGTGAGCAGACCTGAGTTGACACCTCACCGGTTGGATATTTGATATTTGTTAATCATAAAGCCCAGGGTCACAGAGCTGGAAAGTGACAGTAGGGAGGCCCCCCCCCATTCAGCTTGTGACTCTGGGTTAATAATTTGTAGATCACAATGGAATGTGGATGCTCAACAGTTCTTACCCCCATGGGAGGCCTGTCACCTGCACTGTTCCCTCCAGACTGCAGCTATCTCTGTTGTCTTTCAAGGCCAGCCTGGTCCTGCACATAACTGCTCAGAGCAGCCTGGTATTGGGATGCACACACACTGGACTCCCATGTCCTGTCACAGCAACAAGGTTCTTTAGCTGGATTTTTCTCTGTCCGTGCTTTACCTAGTCTTGATAAAATAAATTCTAGGGGTCCCCACACTGCCCTTCTGCACCTTCCTCCTCATCACCAGCCTTTGTTCAGCACTAATGTCCCTTCAGCCCTGGCTATGGTGCCATCCAGATGGCGGGCACTAGACAGGGCACAGCTGCCTGAGTTCAGGTCCTGTTCAGAGCTTGAACATCATGCTTCCCACATGGGTGAGCCGAGGTGTTGCTCTCCTACAAGAGAGAGCGACATCTGTCTCTACAGAGTGTCCCTGTGGAAGGTGTTCTCTGCCTCTGCCTCCAACCCTGGGCTGAAGGCCAATGGGAGCTGTACTGGCCCCATTTTCTCCAGGACCACCTTAGCCAGAGAAGCAGGCTCTGAGCAAGGTGGAGCGAAGGCTATGGCAGGATCTTACTTTTTTTTTTAATATTTATTTATTTTATTATGTATACAATATTCTGTCTGTGTGTATGTCTGCAAGCCAGAAGAGGGCACCAGACCTCATTACAGATGGTTGTGAGCCACCACGTGGTTGCTGGGATTTGAACTCAGGACCTTTGGAAGGGCAGGCAATGCTCTTAACCACTGAGCCAACTCTCCAGCCCTGGCAGGATTTTACTTTGAGGAAGTTTTCATGCCAGCAGAGAATGGGACACTCTCAGAGCTGTGACAAGGTCCAGTGGAGAAGATGCTGGGATGTCAGCACAGTGAGGCTTCTCAGAAGGATGAGCAGAGCAGAGTCAACACTTCAGAGAAGGTTCATCTCCTGAGCACTGAGGGGAGAGAAGCAGGAAAGCTCCTGAGACAGCCCTTGGGAAGAGGGCCCTTAAAGGCACGTGTGTCTAACACCAGCAGGGACCTGGCTATACAGGACCCAGAACACAGTCAAGTAGTGCAGATATCCCATTCCAGATGCACGTGAGGCCATGTGGATGCATTTTAGCTGGGAAAAAAAGGGTCCCGCGTGTGCAGGTGGCATGCTGCAGAAGTCCCTGGTCAACAAGGTGTCTTGAAAATTCAATCAGTCTGGGCTCCCAAGTAGAACCCTGTCCCATAATTGAGAGTTATGCATAATGAGAAGCACTTTGTTTCCTAATTGCTTTAAGGTCTTGTTTGTCCAAAACACTGTGAACCTAGCTGGGTTATTGTTTGTAAGGGGAGCCTCTTTCAGTATAGACTGAGGAGACACCAGCACTAGCTGTGAGGAACATTCATGTGGCCTGTCTGTTAGGGCACAGGCCAGACAGTGACATCTGAACCACTTGAGGACATTTAGAGTCAGCACCAGTCAGCTAGGGACAAGCAGGACAGCTTCACAGCCTGCCGCAGCCTACAGCAGAGCATCTGGGCTCACTCTTGGCTCTGGCTATGACTCAGCAGAAAACCCTGACTTCCCTCCCCAGAAATCAGCTGTGATGCTGACAGCAATGGAAGAGCAAGGACAGGTTACATCACCTGAGTGTAAAACACAGGAACACAGCTGAACCGGGGAGTTATATTTTATTTCAAAAAACAGAGATTTATTAAGCTAAAAAGAAAGTTCTTGGACACTGAGAGGTGATCTAGATTTTCAACTCTTTTTTGAGCTCAGCATGTGGATCCCAATGGGAGCAGTCCTGTTGGAATCTTCCTCTGGACTGGACCAATGACATGGATGGAGGCTGGAAATTGATGTCAGGTTTTGAGTCTACTAAAGGTTTATGTTGTGGCTTTCGAGAGATGCCCCCACTTTCTTCCTGTGATAGGAAAACTATTAACCTAAATAAAGAGAGCACACTTTTCCACTACTGGAGACCTCACTATGGGGACTCTGTGCTGTTCAGGCAGTCACTGGGAGCATCCCTGGACCCCGCAGCCCTCAGCCGTTTGCTTCCAATACTTAGTTAACATAAAATATGGTCCTTTTATCTAGAGTAGTTTAGGAAGGTGATGTGTAATCCCTGAGCCTTCCAGCTAGACTAAACGTGACATAACATGCTTTCCATTTCTCTTGTTTGGAGTTTGTCTTTATACTTTTTTTTGCATGGAAGCATAGAATGCTAGGCTGCTGCATTTAGGATAAAGAAGAAAGGACATCAAAAGCACATTTTGAATCAGTGACTGGAGAAGGTCGAGAAGGAAGTCCTGTGTGTATCTGGGAGAGCAACCCTTTGGCAACAATTTAAGAACTCCAGCACTCAGGAGGCAGAGGCAGGCAGACCTCTGTGAATTTGAGGCCATCCTGGTCTACAGAGCAAGTTCCAGGAGAGCCAGAAATTCAGAAAAACCAGACAGCTAGAGAAACTCATCTCAAAAAAAGAGACAAAAACAAAATCGATGAAGGAAAAACTGAGACAGAAAACTGGCTTGCAGTCTTACATACAATGATATGTGTATGTGTGTGTTCCCTAGTTTTGGGGTTGAACACGGACTTTGTGCTAGTATGCAAACACTCTACCATAGAGATGCATCCACATTTTGCTTTTAATTTTTAAATTCATTATGACATAAGAAGTCTGACAGCCAAGACCTGGCGGGGTGGTACAGGCCTCTGAGTTCAAGGCTAACCAGGAACATAATAAGACCCTGTCTTGAAAAGCAAAAAGACTGGCATTCACATATATATCCTAAAAAGTAGTAAAGAAAACATAGTTAGAATGGATTATAAATGCTTAACAGATATGTTAAAGGAAAAATAAAACAGTTCATATGAAAAGAGTCTCAATCTCAGTCATGAATGAATCCAGTTTCAAAATAAGAAACAGCCTCATGTCCTATAGTTCCGTGTGTGAAATGATACAAGCACCTTACAAGATTCACTGCCTTAAAAAACTAAAGTGAGCACTGGGGACATAACTCAACTGCTAAAATGCTTCCCTTGCACGTCAAAAAACTGAGTTGGATCTCTCGATCCCACACTTAGAAAGAAAATAAGAAAAGAAAGAAAGGCTATGTGGCAATGCATGCTTGCAACCCCAGCTCAAGGGAGGCAGAAACAGTGGCCCCACCCAGCTCTCTGCTCAGCCAGCCTGGCTCCCTTGCTAAGTTTGTTCTGGTGCAATAGCTTTCCTGCAGGCTTCTCCTGCTCCATGCTTTGGGTGCACTATTGAGTCTTTAGTGCAGCCCCAAGGTACTAGGGTGGAGGAAACCCACTAATTCTTTTACTTATACAAAATAATTCAAGCCAGGTGGAGGTGGTGGATGCCTTTAATGGCAGCACTCTGGAGGCAGAGGCAGGTGGGTCTCTGAGAACTTGTGGCCAGCCTGGCCATTAAAAGGAGTTTCAGGACAGCTAAGGCTCTACAGGGAAACCCTGTCTCAGGAAAAAAAAAATATTTTAAACTAGTCTTGGTGAAAGACACCTGTAATCCTGTGTTCAGGAACCTGAGAGAGGGAGGACTGAGAATTAGAGGCCAGTCGGGGTTATGCAGCAAGATGCTGTCTCAAAAGGAAAAAAAAAGAATTTTATTCAATCCTACAGATTAAACATAATTGATGTGGGAATTCTGTGTCATTGTTGAGAACAACAGAGACTTTCTTAGCCTGGGGACTAGGGTCCTGGAGAACTTGATAGTCACTAAAGCAGCTCTAGCAGTGGCTTCTGGGTGCTCATCCTGAGAATTCAAAGACTGAAATGCATGGACGTCAGAGGGTGAGTTTAGAGACAAGATTATTATAGCCTTCTAGTTAGAAGCTTACGAGGAAGGTACACAGACATGCCATTTGAGTTATCCCGGTGTGGAGGTCAGCCACATGGCAGACAAGCAGACACATGGTGGGAAATGGGGCTGCACAGACAGAGTGAGGGAGCCCAGAACACCAGCAGAAGTGGATTTGGACACTGGCCAGCACCCTAAAGGGACAGAGGGGCAGACACAAGGAACCTCATGTCTGCCACAGAGACGGCTTTCAGGGTCAAGGATTTGGGAAGGAAAGGTATTGGCTTATTAAAGGGCTAAATAATTATTCCTGTTATCTCTTCTGTACACATCCCTTAGACAGGAGGTTTACAGGTACAATTGGATTAACTCCTTTTTAAAGGAAATGGCTTTATTTTTAGTAATAGTTTGTGGATAGGTGTTTTGTCTTCATGCATGTCTGGGTATCTGACTGTACAGAGGTCAGAAGAGACTATTGCATCCTCTGGAACTAGAGTTATAGATAGTTGTGAGATGCTGTGTGGAGAACTGGAATTGAACCTGCTCTGGATGAGCAATTAGCACACTTAGTCACAGAACAATTTCTCCAGCCCCATGATTAACCCTTAAGGCAGCAGATGATGTCACATGTCCACTCTTTTGTTCAGGAGGCAGTGGCTTTACCTTAGTGGCCTCCAGTGCTACTGTAACATTGCCTCTTCCCTAAGCAGCACTGTAAAAGAGAAGGCTGGAATTAGAGGCATGAGCCGCCACGCCCAGACTCACTTCATTTCACTTTATTTACATGGGAGGAGGACAAGTGTGCCACAGCATGCATGTGGAGTCAGAGGTCAATTCTGATAACTAGTTCTTTAATTTCACTGTAGCTGTAGGATCCTGGCATTGAACTTAGCTTTCCCTTAATGGAGAGTGGGATTAAGGAAAGGCACAAACTCCCCAGTGGTTTATTTTTTTCATATTCCAGACGGCTGCTGTCTGTACTCCTAACATCAGAGCAGAGATGAGAGTTCCCACAACCCTCCTAACACCAGTGTAGGGACAAGGGTGCCCCACAGCGCTACTATTCTAGTGCAGGGGTGAGGCTGCCCCACAGTGCTACTAATACCAGTGCAGGGGTGAGGCTGCCCCACAGTGCTACTAATGCCAGTGCAGGGGGGAGGATTCCCACAGGGTGACTAATGCAGTGCAGAACCAAAACGGCCCCACAATGCTACTAATGCCACTGCAGGGCCAAGGCTGCCCTGCAGCAGTCTTGCTAGCAATGCAGTTACTAAACACATCTTCAGTGTGGACGGTTGCACTGCTGCTGCAGTCGATGTGTACTTTTATTAATACATGCGTTACAGAGATGATCTGTGAAGCTTTTATTTCTCTCCTTGGGATGTGTTCTGTCCTCGTGAGCCTCTGACCATGAAAACGAATAAACCATTGCGGTGTCCCAGGAGGAACTCAGTGGAAACGCCCGTGTCTCTCGAAGGGTAGTTTTAAGCTCATTTAAGAGCAGTGTTCTCTACATGGAGAGTTAAGTCCAGAACCTGTGTTGTTGTGGCAAAGGCTGCTCATTTCTTGCTGGAATGCTCATTTCTCCCCCCTCGCTGGGTGGAGGGGGTGTGGGGGCTGGGGATATGGCTCAGTCAGACAAACGCTTGCCACACAGGCATTAGGACCTGAGTTGGATCTTAATCATGCATGTTAAAATGCCAGGTATGTTGTCCTGCCCTTGTCATCCTGGCTCTGAGGAGGAGGGACGAGAGGACACCTAGGGCTCTCTGGTCAGCCAGTGTAGTCTAGTAACTGAGTTCCAGGTCCTGGGGTTAGACTCTCACAACAACATGGGGGATGGCTCGTGGGGAATGACATCAGAGAATGACCTCTAAGCTCTGTACACATGCGGGTGTGCACCTACACAAGTATAGCAGCCTACATACACATGGGGGGGGGGAGAAGAGGAGGAGGAGGAGAGGAAGGGAGAGGGAGAGAGAGGGATAAACGAGGGAAGAGAAAGACAGAAAGTGGTTTCATGGGTCACATGTATCTGATCCTTGGCTGAAAAACCATCAGGGGAAAGATGGATGAAGAGCTGTGTAACCAGTGGGCATTGTTTCTCCCCGGGTTTGAGAAGGACAAACAAGGCTATGAACCAATATGGAGGAGGTGTCTTTGGCACAAAACCACCCACCATTCAGAACCCAGCCTGCCCTGAGCCTCCAGCTTCATTTGAGAAGAACCCAGTGGCTCAGAGGTTCTATGGCCTCCTGCTGCCAGCCTCCTAATTCACCCAGTCACAATCTGTGCCTGCTCAGCAGCCTGGAGCTCTGCTGGCTCAAGGCCACTCCTGGCTTTGTCGTTCCCTTTCTCTGGCCTCACTGCAGCTCTCTTCAGTCACCATGGAGAGCCAAGCATGGCCTCCTGGGTCAGTTGCTTTGGGACAAAATTTAGATGCATCACAATTGCCTGTCCTAGATGCCTTCCCTGCCCTCTGTACCAAGGCCAGCACTTTCCCCACCCTCCCACCTCTGTCCTAGAGACTGGCCTTCTGTCTTCAGGGCCAGAGCAGCAAGAGGCTACTTTTCAGCTTTCACTTGGCTATGGGATGTTGGGGTGGGGTAGGAGGGCTGGAAGAGATTGAGGGATGGAAGGAGAGTGAGCTGGTGCTGTGCCCAGGACATGCTTGAGGACAGGGTCTATTCCCAGCTGTCTGTATTCCCTAAACCTTCCCTCCTTTTCTATCCTGATGGCTTCAAACTTCTCCCTCCTCTTCTGTCCTTGATCACTACAAACTTGTTCCCTCCCATTTTGTTTTTGAGGACGTCAAACTCCCCAACATGCTGGCTTCAGAGTAACCTGGGTGTGAGAATGGACACCTTGGTGAGAAGGAGCTAACATGCTGTCTCGGTCCCTTAGTCAGAATGCAGTGGGTGGAGGAACCCGCCTGAAAAGTCCTGGGTCCAGGGGCAAAGGCAGCTCCTATACAATGGCCACCTTCAGGCATGACTCCATGTGCACGTGGTCACATAGAACAG